ACGTGTGGGTAACAGTGACAGAAGCCTGTTTCTTTGTCGCACTTTTCTCCACTTCTTGTGGCTCCCACATCACAACCACATGCTGAAGAAAAAAAAACACAGGTGATACTCTTCTGCTTGGTTATTTTTTAAAAGTGATCACTATCCACACTTCAAGAATTACCAGCGGCTTAGAAAACAACACGACAGTCAACTTTGGCCTTGGCACCCTTTTACAGGCTTTTAATTCCCAGGCAAAAATAAGTTACAGATGTTTGACTGAAATAAACTCCCGGCGATACCCCATGCATTATAACGGACTCTCACTAAAGAGGACACTAACTCAAGGTCATCACAGTGTCCACTGCTGTAAGATGAATTGACTATAGATTCAAATTCAGGCCACTTCACTTCTCATTTCAACACAGTGAATGAAAATTGAACTTTCCTTCAGCTTCCTTCGACGTGAGGGTTTTAGTCTTACAAATGTAACCTAATGTTTAAATGTTATGACATAAAGTGCACAGCCTCAGGGTAAACCTTACTTACATTTACATCCACTGATATGAGCATCTTGTAAGTCATAATAGCCATCTTTACACTGACTGCAATTACGAAGATCCACGTTTGTCTTACAGTTACATTGGCCATAGTAATCCTAAAGACAACACCAAATATATACGTTAAAACATTTGATAATGATCGGATCATTCACAAGAGAATAGGATTCGGTGTAGACTCTAAATTGACATGTTTTAATATTAATTTCAGTTCAATCAAGAGACTGTTTCTCTTGAAGGTACTTTCATTGCCCTGCAAACGGCTAGAACTTCGCGTGGCTCCGGTGTCCCGCGTCTCTCGCTGGAAACGTAAAAATGGTACCCTCAATAAGTAATTTCTTGCTAATTACATTGACACTCACAAATAAAGTGCATATTTTTCAAAGGAAGTTAAACCATAACATGTGAATTGTGTGTGTTGTCCCTCGCATGGCATAAGCCATCATTACTTAATCAGTTTAGTTTGTTTGCTGGTTTTTTACTTGTTCACCTGGAACAGAACACTTGTGAGACTGTTTCTACCAGTACAAACAAATTTGAACTAACCGCACAAATTTGTAACCTACTTTTTGTTATCTTTGAGGAAAGGTAACCGAGTCAAACTGCGTTTTGTACAAAAATAAACGCATTAGAATGGGAAAACTTACCCCTTGGCAAACACTTGATCTATTGATAGTTCCTTCAAGATGACAGTCACATGCTAAACGAAAACAGTACTTTTATCAAGAGGAGGTAGGTGATCATTAAGAAATACTTGGTCAATCTTTTCCCACCGAGTAGTTCGAGACAGATGGTTACACACTTAAAGTTTAAAAATCCGCAACAACATATCCGGGGGCCGGCTTCATGGATTGGTTATCAGCAAGCAATGTTTACGTGAAGGCAAGTTAAGACAGGTAAAAGTGTAATAAGTAGAGGCAAAGAAAATATTCAGTCAATACTGCTTGCTGTAATTAATGAAGGTAAAGAACTAATGTCTCATAACAATTTACAATTTACAAGCAAACTGTTACATTACATTTCAGCACGTCTTTTCTAATCAGAGACCAACGATTAAAAAAGTACCAAGGTTTTGATTTTAGATTGATAATTCATCACTAGTTTCAAATAATTAATCAGTGATACATTTTGAACTGGATAACAACAGGTTACATGGTGCATATGGACCAAAAAGAAGCAATCTAGCAATTACTTTGTTCATAACTTAAAACATTATTATCAGTTTTTTTCAATAATGTGTTCTTACCTATACACCCGTGGGGGTTCCCCTGTGTCAGTCTGTAGTATCCGACCTGACACATATCACACTGACGACCTTGTACAAAAGTCTTACAGTAGCAGTCACCCGGTTGCTAAAAAACAGATTATAAGACTGATATTAAAAAAGATTTAAGAAAAACAAACAATATACGTAGCGAACGTTCGTTTTTGTTTTAGTATTTGTGACTTGAACTTTTTTAAATATAACACACTGAGCGTTGGCTTTTACCAACTCGATTTTACGTCTTTTATTGGGAAACTACATAAAAATCAACGAAAGTCATTGTCTCTTAGGTCTTAAACGTCAACAGAGGCCTTTTGAAAGAATGACAATATAATACACTGAACTGTTTTTGTATAAATATATATATTGTTTTTGAAGTTTAGCTAATCATCTTTTCCCTTTTTATTATTATATCAAAGTCAGAGAATTACAAAGATTGACGAAATTTCAATTTTATCAGCACTGAAACCAGTACTTTTCAGCGTGAATGAAAATTACCTTTCCCGGATGAGAAGATAAGAGGTTTTCATCTTTTACACAGTCACCGAATGCTAATCCTGGAACATTGGTTGTTCCATTTAAATTGCAGTTGCAAGCTGAAAGTTCATAAGAAAATAAATGTTGTTGTACTGATTTTCGTCGAAACCAAGGCAGGGAACTATAAGTAAGTCATCACTACACTGATGATCTTTACCTGTGTCAAACTAAGAATTCCCCCCCCCCTCCCCTCTCAGTAAAAAAGCCTGTCGATATGGGAACGGAGAAACTGAATTCAAGATAAAGACATACTTCTGGTACGTTTATTAAACTCCAAACTTGATATATATACTTTCAACCGATCAAATGACTGTTTCTATGTGAAAGTACAAAGTTATGACCCTGATCAGAGTGTGATCATGATTATGACCGGGCTTGTTTTTCAATTTTTATTAGAATATTACAAACCAAGTTTTTTTGCATTACCTTGGCAAGCATCCACATCGGATTGATTTCTTCCGGGACTTCGGTAAAAATACTCCTTACATTTTTCACAGTTTATTCCTTGTGTATTGTGCTTAGAAAAAAGACGAAAACAAGAGAAGTTTGATTGATAGTGCCTTGTTAAGTCATCGTCACGCGTTCCTACGACCCCATGAAAATTGTTAATAAAGAAGGCGAACGCTCGCGTGCCGAAGCCCTACGAAGTCGTCTAAGAGCGTGCCTGTGTAGAAAGCTAGCCATAACTCGCCTTTGTACTTATGACCTTGTTACCCTGATACACAAATTGTTCTACTCGAACTTTAAATTCACAAAACGTTTTGCCAGGATCCAGTGTAGTGTATCTGGTTCATTGTACAGTTTATTTCATAGTTCAGCCGTGTGAAAGAACAGGATTCCCAGGCTCCTTGGGAGAAGTCGAAACATGAATGAAATTACGTAACAGCGTCAATTTGTATTGTAGTACTGTGGTACGAGACTAAGCAGTCCTTTTCTTACATAACTTGTAATTTGGTGTCTTTTGGAGTCGTTTTAGATCAGAATTCCACCGCGTTTTAGGCTCACTATCGTCCTTTTTCTGCTCTCTCTCGCAAAGAAGAAAACAGCGAACCTTAACCTTACCGAAATCCCTCACTGAGAAGAGGAGAAATAAATTGGGTAGTTTTCTTATTATATTATTTGTTTCTTTCTTGATCCAGCGAGTGACTGAATACACATAAGGCTTTTTTAATAGTTTTTTTTTGCAAAGTATTGTAGGTTTTAACATTAAATTTTGCCATAGGAATTTTTAAAAAAAACTTAGGTAAATATTATTTTTTACGATTTTATATAATGCACCATGGGGTTTAAACATTTTTTTGTGTATAACTGAAAGTCCCTCAGGGGAGTGTACAATACACTTCATTCATTCATTCATTCATTCATTCATTCATTTCTCACAAAGATACAGTATATTTGCCCTGTTATTTACGATTGTATATTCCCACACTTTAACTCTTCTATTTACGCTGTTACGCAATGTCGCCTTTCAGGGAGGTTGGGCTACCTGTGGTGAAAGCAACCTTGTCGATAAGTTCAAGTTCCAATCGCGAACTACTTGTAATACGATGAGCACTCATTTGTTATAAGGGTTTGGGTTCTGGAGTTCTCTTTTTACCCTTGAATTTTTGTTGTTGTTCTCTCTTCTTTGTTTGTTTAGAATGTCAGCCGTTATGGTTATGGGTATGAACAATGTATCTCGTTTGATACAAAACATGTTAAAAAATAGCTGAAATACAGAAAGGTAACCTTAAAACAGCCTATGTTTCACTAATAGCCTCGTAGTGTAACCAGTTTCATGTTCACTTGAAAATGGGCGTGATTGAATATGGGAAAAATGCTTTAAAAGATATCGGTCATTTTGCCATTTAAATGCCCTATAATCTTATTGAATGTTATTTGAAAAATATCATAATCAATATTCAATATTCAGTCAATATTCAATCAATAATCAATCTTCAATCGCCTCAAAATTTTTGTTCTACTTCTTAAGGTACACTTTACAATTAACAAATTTTAAAATGACATGTTAAAGAAAATCCTTTATTATCATTGGCGATTACGAGGAAAACCTGATTCTTTTTCTGCTCATTTTCTAATATGAACTTGAAATAGATGTCCTTGTTTCATTTCCAGTTGAACTTGAGGACACAGACGAGCTGAAACATATTTTGATCACAAGCGGTCAGTATTTTTATCACGTTTTAGATGTCAAAAAGGAACATATCACTGCTCATGTGGTCGGACCTTGGTGTAAAAACGTGTTAAAGCATACTTATCGCGTGAAGTAAAATGGCAAAAACAACAAAAAGATAAAACGGAAACAGATAATAGGAAAATGTTATCCCTCTGGTAGCTGTCCCTTATTAGCTTCTGCCTTAGAAAGAAAGCATCTGAAAAATATATTCTAAAAACAATTTGATATTCAAACCTCAAGAAAGAGAAAGGTGTTTATAAAACGAGCTTCGATCAGGGTCATTTAAACCTGTTGGTTGACGTAATTGAAGCCAAAATGGAATTGTTATGAAATTTGAGCTGAGGAGGAGATGATGTCTGCCACATGATCAATGCTATGCTGACCTTGAGACTGTTTAAGTGAACATGCAAAAAACTTGATAAATAATTTTTTTTCTCATTCGCGACTGGTCGAGCATGAACAAACATAAATTGGCGAAAAAATCATGGATCTGCTGTTGAAGGCATGGATAGTGACTGTTGGCCGATTTTTGTTTTTCGTCTTGATAATCATCCAAGGCTTGGCCTTGGCTGCATATTTAGCGGCCTACGAAAATCATTCTGCGTGGAATTCTTTTGCGCTTCTCTTCCTTCCCGCTTCATTATTTTGGTGGTACATCAGCATCAACAATGCGGGAAAACCTAAGTTCCTGTTTTTCACTTGGTTATCCTATGTTTGGCTCGGTCTAGTGCCAATGATTGGGGTCGTGTTTGGTATAGCAGTAGACAAACTTTATCAGCCTAAAGGTTTTCTAAATCCAAGCACTTTACAGATGTCTCTCTGTATAACCCCTCTTCTGCTCCTGTTGTTGTTTCACACTGGAATGGAATCAACCATACACAGAAAAACGATAGTCAACTTGTCAATCAAAGCTGCCATTGATCTCGTGGATGCAATCGAGCTTCTATCGATTGTGATTGACGAAATTGATACGAGTCATAATGTGCCAAAAAGTGTTGAGAAGTTGCTAATTTCCTTTGCCTGCATCAGCATTTTGTGCCAGTCGGTACTGGGCATTCCTTATGATGAAAAGCGGCTTGAAGAAGGAGGAGACGAAACGGAAATATCCATCGCCAATGGTCTCACCCAAGTCTTGCTGAATATTGTCTTTTTAGGGCTGCGCCTCGGATTAATTTTTAATTTCAACAGAGTCGCCTCTTTGTTCATCGCTAAGAACATAGTTATGATTGTGGGGCGTTTGTTCGAGTTGAAATATCTTACTACACTGATTTATCAGGATGTACCAACCAACGAACCGGCTTCAGATACTACAGCAGCTCCT